ATAATAAAAAAACAAACGCAGCTCCGGGAGCTGCGAGATGCTGGACCCGGCACCCCGGTAACGCGGGGTCGACCCGCGCCCACCGGCGCGGCGCTAGCAAGGGACACCCCAGCCCCGTACCTGGCTGGAGGATCTTCACAGGCAAGTGGTCCATGCTGGGGCTGCAAATATGCGCCAGCGAGCCGAACTTGGAAAGCAACATCTTCCGAAGGGAGGAAAACGGCGAGTCCTCAGCGGTGGCTCCGCCGGCGTCCTCCCGGCTCAGTGCTTGGCGCGGCTCTCCTCGCTCCGGAGCCGGCGGAGGGCGGCGGGCCGCCGATTATCTTCTGCGCAGCTCCTTCCTCGGCCGGGAGCGGGAACGACGGAGTCCTGGGGGAGGGGGGTCCCCGCCGGCAGCGATTCAGGCGCCGGTGGCACCAAGTCCTCGGGAGAAACGCAGTCAGCGAGCGCGCCGCTCCCGCGCTCCCTCTTCCACCCGGAGAGAGCCGCTCGGGACGCAGGCAGGCACAGACAGAAGAAGAGCCCTCCCCGCAGGCAGGCGAGTCCAGAGGGTACCGGGCCGCGCGTGGAGCCCGTCCCTGCGGGGGCCGCGGCGGCAGGAGCGGGCTGGGCGCCGCAGTGAAACCGTGGCGGGCGCAGGACCGACCGCGCCGCCACCGAGCTGCCCGCGCGCTTCTGAGTCGGCGGCGCCGCCGAGCCGCCTCTTAACTCCCAATATTTTGGTGCGGGCAGAGTGCGGCGAGTGCGCCAAGGATATCCCTCCGCGGGGGAGGGAAGGGGGGGAACACCTCTCCCGCCGCCCCCGCCGCCCCCTCCCCTCCGCTCCGGGGCGCCCGCGGGGCGGTGGCCACGACTGCAGCGTCCCGTGCCCGCCCCACCGCGCGGGCGGGCGCGGGCAGCGCGGGGGTCTGGGAACTACTTGTTTGTAGTAAGCGGCGCGCAGAGTTACACCCTGTCTGCGAGGGAACGCATCACACATTAGCGACGCAAAAAAAAAAAAAATGGAGGGGGCCGGGGGAGATCCTCCCACGTGCGTTAGCGCCGCGCGCGGCCAATCGCCGCGCGCCCTTTCAAAGGGCTCCCGGTGCGGCCAATGGGGAGCGCCCTCATTTGCCTGCGGCGGCGCGGCCGGGCGGCGGCAGGGCGGGAATGCCGCGAATGCCGCGGCGCCGAACCCGCCCCGCCCCGCCCCGGGCTGCGGGAAGGGCGCTCCGAGCCGAGCCGGGCCGGACTGCTGCGGCGGGGCTGCGCGGGGGCGGGACGCCAACAGAGCCGGGGCACGGTAGCTCCACGGAGCTGGCCTGTGGCGTAGCCCAGGCGCGGCGGTTCAACCGGCCGGTGCTCCCCAGTCAGCACGCGGCACTCCCCCGCCCTCCGCGGCGGTTCCCCCTGCCCGGCGCTGTCCCTTCGGGTCGGCGTAGCCGGCGCCGTGCCAGCGCGGGGGGACGCCGGCGCCTGCCCTCTGTGCCTGTCTCCGTCAATCGCCTCGCCTTTGCGGAAGCCCCGCGGGGCCGGTGTGGCGCGACGGCGGGCGCCGCAGCCCCGGCGGCGCGACTCGGCTCGGAGGAGCTCAGGTCTTCGCTCCGCTCCGCGTCCCGCCACGGCGCCGCACCATGAGAGGGCACAGAGCTGCTCCACTTCCCTGCGCTGCCGCCTCCGCCCTGCCCTCCCCGCCCTCCAGGGGGCGCTGGATCAACAGGAATCGCGGCGAGGGCGCGTTCCGCCGGCGGCGCTCGCGGGTGTCCCCGCGCCCGGTCCCGTAACGGGGGTCAGGCCCCGCCGCCGTGAGGGGAGAGCGAGGCAGTTGGGGGAGCCCAGGGGGAGAGGGAAGCCCGGGGGCATCCGGAGGATCTTGGCGAGCATCTGTCCAGCAAACCCGTGGGCCACTGCTATAGAAACTAATGAGTGCGGTGCTGGGCGGGCAACAGTATCTTAATCTCCAGCAGCTACTGAGCCCCGCCTAGACGCCTGTGAACAGCACGAGGTCTGCAGACAGCCCCCCAGCACCGCTACCCGTGTCACACCGCGGGCCACGTGCACAGCAGGGAAAAAAGTGGAGGTATCGGTGCTCCACGGGGATCCCCAACGTGAGGGTGTTTTTGGACAACCACTTGGCAGCCCTTCCCACCCTGAGCCTTGCAGTTGGCATTGTCTGATAATAGTAGTGCTGTAATCTCGGGCAGTCGTGCCCATAAACAAAGCAAGGGCTTCCAAGGAGAGGTAATTTCTTTTATTAGATTAGACCAGCTGATGTAAAGGTCAGGTTTTCAGGCGCGGTTTCAACCCTTCATGTCCCAGAATGTATTTTTTGAAGCTAGATCAGTTAGGCTATGAAAGGTACTACCTCACTTGCGGACCATGGCATTTGCAAAGGCTCCAAAATAAACCATGGAGTTTACTGAACAGTTGAAAAATTCAGGAGGTTTCATGCTTATGATTTTTTTTTTCCTTAAAGATAATGAATTGGATTTATCAGATAAAAAAAAGCATCTTTCTTATTGCTTTACATTATTGTTTTTATTTGCATTAAATATCCTACCTTTTGGCTGTCTCAAATCATATTAAATAAGTTTTTAGCAAGTTTCTCCCAGTAGTGGTATAGGCACGCTATTATGTTTGTTGCTGCTGAAATGTAACAACTACAAAGAGTAGGTTTCATGATCTCACAGTACATGTTCCAGGCTTATTTTAAAATATTTAACTGTATCTGCCTTTTGCTGTAACCCGTGTAAGTGGCTTATTATGAATATTGTTTTAAATGGAGAGGAAGTGTTTCTCACTTCCAAAATGAAATCTCAAGTTATTGAAATTTTTAAATAGAACAGGCACGAAATATTAGTATGTGTAAGTGCTAATTATTTAGGGAATTAACATTGCAAGTTCTTATTACTACTTTTTTACATGACAAAACATGAAAAACCATGCATATATCCTAGTCTGCAAATGTAAAAACGTTGGGTTTTTTCATTCAAACTATATTTGGAATTTCTTAGATCAATCTTTATGTTGCCATTCTATAGTAAATCAGTCATATGCTTGCCTTGAACCTGTTCAGGAAAATTATACAGTTCCCTCAAAATCCTATTGAGTTTAAGCTACATCTACTTTATCTGTGTCAGCTGTAATATTTTGAATCAAAAGAACATGGCATACCTTTACACATCTACATTTGTAGCAAAATGCTAATTAAAAATTCCATGATCAATTCTGGCATTGGTGTAACTGCCTGTCTGATTTGTATTTTCACAACAGTGTAAAAGGGAGGTTATTACGTATCTAACATTAAAGAAAACAAGATAGTTACTCTAAAAAAAAAAAAAAAGGAAAAAAGAAAGAGTGATAGGGGGGTATTTGTTCTTCATTCACTTAATTTTGGCGGACAGACATTTAACTTGTATACAGCTACAAGCATCTTAGTTTGACAGAATTACAGATGGATCCCAGACATGGAATTTACCCTGTCTTTACACATAAGCCTTTCATGGGTTTGTGGTGCTCCTTTGATCTGACTTGAAACATGCAGTTCAGTGGTCCCAAACAATTATAGTTGCAGAAATATTTTATAAACTAGTTTTGGCCACTTTAGCAGTGGCTTTGCAACTATAAATGGAAAATCATTTGTGGGTAGGATGCCAGTTTGCTGTAGAATTCATTTTTTCTGTTCAACAGTCCCTAAGGAGTGGGTTTGTCAGGCACAGAAATATGTAAGAGCCATGGGAGTTTCTGCTTGCTGAACAGTACTACATTCAGGCTACCTTTTAATGTCTGCATGGAACTCAGTTCAAAGTTTGCTCTGGCACATCATCGCCAGGTACTGCACTGGTGACATTAATGGGCTGTAATAAATACTTACAACCATTGTAGATCTTCTGGATAGAACTACCAAAATGCATCTGTTCTCATAATAAGAACATAAGGAATGTTGCTAAGCATGCTCTGGCAGTAAATGCCCATTAAAGTTGATAAGAATATTGGTATTCCTAGGTCCCTCAACCTCTTTGTATGTCAAAGCTCCTAGCTACCTTAATAACCCTTTGCTTGATTCTCTTCAGTGTCTCTTCTATTTGGCAACAGAGCAAACCAAACACAGTGTTCTAGATGTGGCTTTATATGTTCTGAATAGAGGGCAATAATCATGTCCCTTGACCTGCTGGCTATGGTCTTGCTAATGCACTCCAAGATGTGGTTACTCTTCATTACCACAAGCGCACGCTGCTGACTTTGTTGGTTTGTGGTCCATTGGGTCCTCTCCTGAAGAACCGTTAGTTCCAGCCTACACTTCTTCATAAGTATATCCTGTCCCAGATGCGGAACCTTGGCATTTATCTTTTTGGAACCTCAATTCCCCTGATTTGGCATCACCTTGTACTTCCAAAGGGTCTCATCATGCAGGTCACAGATGAAAATGTGAAATACTATCAGCCTGTGTTTTGGGAAATACACCTTGGAATCACCTGCTAATTCAACTTGAAACAGTTATTATCTACCCCTTGAGGCCTGTGATCTGTTCAGTTTTTAACCGACCTTGTAGTCCACCTATATCTGCATGCTGAAACACAACTAAAGAGAAAAGGAACAACATCTATTCTAACCACACCAAGAGAGCCTGTAATGTAGTTGTTGAAGGCAATCAGAGTAGCTAAGCACAGTTTGCCCTTGGGAATTTCAAGATGGCTGCTCTCAATAACATTTTTGTTGTTGTGGGAATGGAAATGATTTCCATGAGTACTTGCTCCATAATTTTCCCAGCAACTGAGGAAGGTTGATCAGCCTTTCATCACCCAGATACTCCTTATTGCAATTTTCTAAGACAGATATAACATTTTTGCAGTTGTCAGAAACCTCCTGGGATCACTGTGACCTTTCACAAGGGAGAGAGTGCCCTTCCAATGACTTTTGCTGGCACTGTTAGTACTCTCAAATGTATCCTGTCCAATCCCATGGACTTGTATGACATTTCTAGCTTGTGTAATTAGACCCTGACTTATTCCTTGCTACTTGACGTGGCACTCTGGGAGGCCTGCGGGCAGACTATGCCAGTAAGATACTGAGACAAAGTGAGTACATGTGTGCTGTGTCACAAGGTGCATTCAGCAGGGGGCCTAGATTTTACTCACTCTCCCGTTTTGCTACAAAAGTGTCCTTACCCATGACATCCTTCAGCAATTTTAACTGCATGGAAGCATTGGCCCCCTAATTCCATCCCTGTGCACCTGGGCAATGCTCCTGTATTCCTTCTCATCATGTGCCCACTTCCACTGGTCCCATATGCTTCCTTTCTGTTGTTGAGCTCAGTCATATATGCACTACGCTGCTAAGGAAGGCTCCCGCTGTAGCTGCTTATTTGCTTGCAAATTAGGACGTATTACAGATATGTCTTACTCTGCCAGATCAGTTGTTAGGACACTTCTTTCAGCAACTTCAGTGCTTTTCTTTTGAATAGTGTGTCATGAACCACAGCCTCTCTTTATTTCTTTATATTTGAGAACACATTGCTAGAGTTAAAAATGGTTAGAGACTCACAGGATCATAGACTATGCTGAGCTGGAAGGGACCAATCAGGATCATTGAGTTCAGCTCTTGATCCTTCAAAGGACACCCCAAGAGTCACACCCTGTGACTGAGAACGTTATCCAAATGCTTCTTGAACGCTGTCAGGCCC